TTTGAATTTATCAATTAAAATGAAAATTAGGTACTTATTTATTGCAAAATATTTTTATTGAATCCGTTATCAAATATCTTTTACAATATATATAGTTCTTCTTACTGTTTAGTTAAATGTATAATCATAGGACTATTCCAAAAGAAAGTTTGGACAGAACCGAAACTCAAAAGTATAAATTGCAATATAAAAAATAAACAAAAACAAGTTTCTTAGGTAACCAATTATAAAATCACAGGAATAGTACCAACCAGAATAAAAATAACTAAAAAAATAAACAAAACCACTTCTTATAAAAATATTAGCAGAGGAAGCCAATCTGAACTCTAAACGTGTTCAAAGCTGCTCTTTTTTATTTGTTCAAATCTGCTCCAATGGATACTTTACAAAATAACAAATATTTTCCATGCGTAAAATTACTCAATGACTACGAGCTGTAGATTTAATATTTTAGCAATAAAACAATCCACGACAAGCAAAGTTCAATTCACCATTATCTATATTCTTCCAGTAATATCCTTAAAATTGTTCTTGAGAATGTTTCCATATTCATTCAATCTGACTGGGTAAACGAATTTGTTCAAAGGTGCTTCCTTCTACCCTACTTAATCCAGGGATAATATTTGACCCTCAAAGATTAAGTAAACTATTTGATTGTAAATGTGCACTTTTTCAATAAACGATATTTTTTTTAATGTTTGATATATAATATTGTTCCGACTATATTAGTTGATCTACGAATAAAGTATAAATGAACTGCATTCAAGGCAACATAGGTAAGGTAACAAGGCAATATTTTTGGTTATGTATTTTTATGTAATTTTATAAAATAAAATAAAAAACATATTATCATGCAATAAAACAATTATTAGTGGTAACACCAACAAAGAACAATAAATAACCTGTTAGTAATAATTCTTAAAGGTTTTTTTTTAATTTTTTATTGTTCTTTGTTATATTATGCTAGCATGTCGTTTTTATAAAATGTCATTTGTCATCAACTTCTCGTGAGATTTTCCCAATCTCAATGATCTTATTTGCTATCTAAAGAAAAAGTTTACGATCACTGACCGCTTCTTTGTTTACGGTTTATCTAATTCTTCACAACAAAACAAGCTAATAATTCTTCACAAAGTGTACACCAAAGTCCTAGTGTGCATTCTTATTACATATTCTAACTAGGTTAAAAATGTATGCCCAAGAATGTTTACAAAACTCTTTCAAGATGCGCGAAGTCCCTAAATCGCATAAGGCTAGGGAATTGTCTTACATTTAGAACAAATGTGATAATTGTGAAGTATTTGAGTTAGTAAAACAAACTGTACCTAATGTTTATTATAAACCCCCACTGAAACATTACATACTTTAAAAGAACAGAAACTATCACCACCACGCGTATCATTTTCTTAACGGCAATTGAGTCGTCTCAGGAATACAGCTAGGCTTTTGTTGAGTACGTGATATAAAGATGTGACGACCGTGTGATGTGAAGACCAATGTGACATGGAGGCAAATACAGTTTATAAAAAAAATGGCAAATCAAAACAAAATATGATATTGCAGCGAACTAAAGCTAGCAGTAGTACTAAGCTGCGTTAAACTGAATTACTGAAAAACAAACACACATTACAACAATGACATCTATGTACCCACTAGCGTTTACAACGAGAAAATTATCATATATCATATCATATACATCAAATAATCATGAACTTTACTTGTTACTTGAAACGTTACTAGGTACCGAAAGAAAAACTAACTTATCGATGTATATTCCTACGTTGTCACCTATGGTTGTCACTAACACTCGTAGATTTAGTATATAGGTACCTATATACTAAATCTATGCTAACACTAGTATTTCCGTAAGATGGAATAGTTTAACTAGCATCAACATTTTTAAAATGTATGGTCATCTATATTAATATAATTGGTAATTTACAAAGAAAATGGCTGCTAACAATAATATTCGGTAAAATTTAAATTATGTTGGTAGAGTAGTATTAAGTCAGTAAAATTCGGAACTTTCAGGATTTCTTTCGATTGTTTCCGTATTCTTATTTGCACAAAAGTTTCCGGTAGCGCAGTAAATAACGTAGTAATATTCGTTTTTTGATAACCTTATTTTTAATCACGAAACTAATAACTTAATTTACGAAATGATTGCGTATCCAAAAATATGACACGCTTGGCCTTTGTGTAAATCAGTACAAGAGCATTCAATAATGTAGAATCGGAGAAGAACGAACAAATTGTACTACTCCTATTGTCACAACGGAGTGAGATCCTGTCGTAAACATAAAACATGAAACCAAGTTTAACGACTCGAATTTATAAATTTCAGGACGCGCAGGCTATTTGTAACTCAGTGTAATTACAGTTGCTGTCTTCGTGTTTCGTTATTTTGAGTGTCTGCGATTTTTCGGACAACACCTACACTACATGAAACGTGTAATAAATAACTGGTGATGAGACATCGGTTTACGAGTATGAGAGTATGGTACCTTGAAAATGAGGCGAAAACCAAAAGCATGCATACATATCACCGCGCTTGTCAAAAAACCGCAACAAAACGCTCGAAAATCAAAATTATGCTGATGCCCAAGCAGCACACCCATATCTAAATATATACTATAAGATATTTAATAGAATTTAATTCGATTGAATATTTTAAGAGTTCAAATTCCCTCAAGATATCTCGAAGAAAGTTTCTAGATAACTTAAAGTAAAAGTGGGCACAACTTTATTAGTAGAACACAAGAGTGCTTTGAGAAGCTATCTGTAGGTAGTGTTAAGAGTGATTTTTATCTTTTTTCTCAAGTAACTCTTCTAGAATGCTACAAGACCATTTGTAGAATGTAGAATGTAATTTTTATTTTTTGTTGTAGACAGTTTTTAGATAATTTATAGTCTATGATAGTTTTCTTAGCAATGCTATTTTAAAACCAAAATACTAAAGCGTTACAAACATAAGACGCAATTCTCTTAATACTAATAGATTTCAAGACTAATGGCTTACAAAATATAATCTATCAAAATTGCAACATGGCGAAATTAGTTATAATATTTCTGACTTTTTCGCGCAATGTTTAATCGGTTAGAAAACTCAAATTGACGTGCGACTTTAAATACATTGTGAAAAGTGATGTAAAACCTGCTATAAAAGTAATGCGCTCGCTAAATTTTAGTATTTATGTATAAAATATAAACTTAATAAAAATACAATTATCGATTTTCTGTTTTAAATATTTATAGAAAACTTAAATATACAATGTAACTCACAAAACAAACCATTTCCAAGAAGTTCTAGGCTTCTTCAAGCTAATTTCAACTTAGATTTACTTTTTAAAAAGAAAGAAATTTTTCTCGGTTACTTCATAGTCATTCTTTAAAAATAAAAATGGCGATAAGAATTTAAAGCTTTTTTCAAAACACAGTTGGGAGCATTTTGTCTATAGCTTTATCTATAGAAAAACTTTAGAATACGATAAGATTATTTTTACTTGCTTTAGTGTAGTTGATTCTTCTACAGAAGAACTTTCACTCCTATGAAGTTTTTATGATTGTCTACAAAACGCGATGTTTCTAAGCGATTTTTTCTTTTGACAGAATTACAAAATCTTTATAAAGTTAAAGGAAATAGTGAGCGTATTATGCAATAAAAAGCTTTTCAAAACACTAGGTCAAAAAACAATTGAATATATCCAATTTGTCGGAAAAAAACGTTATTCTGTATAATTATATGGAATGTGTTATATATGACTGAAAGGTGGATAAATTCCCTATCATATAAATATAAGGAATATTTTAATGACTTACCTAATTTATGTTGGAAGAAATAAAATTTTCATTACAAATTTGAGGTTATTTCTTCACGCCAACCACATTTCACACAATGATTTCACTGATTTCTATTGATAGACGGCACAACACACATACATATCATTGAAGTACAGTAGTTTACGCGCTCATTTCAATTGTTTTTATCATTTCACAACACGGAATTACTTCACAAGTTTATTTATTTGTCAACAAACAAATGCCGGCCATGACCGGCCCGAGCGCCAATTACGACTATTGTATCCAGAGTTGCCAATTTGTGGGGAATTCCCCAAATTGTGGGGAGTTTCAACTAGATTGGGGATTTTGTGGAGATTGGCGCTATGTGACGAAAACGTGGGGATTCTAACATTTTATCATTTTGTTTAATCTATCAATTGCTGATGCATCGCTAGTTAGATCGTTACTGTTAGAAACACTGTGATGGACTATATCGACGTGTTTTTCAACATCGAAAATCCCTCGTATTATTAAAAGAATTATTTTAATTATTATTATTACTTTAATTCTTCAAGAATTAATATAATTTAATAAACACAAGTAGTTATTATTGTCAATTAAATGTCAATAATCATAAAAATTAAATTTACCAACGGATTGATACTGCATAAATAAGTAATGTACGACAAATTGCGTAGTCGCACATGTCAATATCTTTTTTTCATCGAAAGAAAAAGTTAGGTGCACCCTTAGACTATTTTTTTCCATCCTCTAAGGGTGCACGCAAGAAGCCTAAGTGCACCTCACAGTCCATCGTCAAGTTCCAATTTCAAAAATCTTTTCCACACTAGCGTGCAACAAACTATTTTGCGCGCAGATTTCTATTGAGAAAGAAAGCCTTGCCCGGCTAGTGAGGTGAAAAAGTCATTTATTGTGTGAAGAATAGACATGTTCCCCAAGCTAAATATTCCGCATAAGTAACACCCGATTTGCTCATCGCGGGTGAGTAATCATTTATCAGTTCCTCACACAAAGCAGGGCCGCATCAGCGTCACTGCAATATGTATGTAATTATTTGATACCTCTTTTTCAATACAATGTTTGTAGGAAATTTTGCATGTTCTAATATTTCACTAAATAAATCACGTCGAAACATATTTTTTCTATTTACAATATTAAAGAGAAATAAAATTGAGGTTACTGCAAATAATATATATATGTAAAGGTTTCAATTAAGATTTCTTTATTTCAGTCAGTATTTATTTCGAGAATTTGCGTAGTATAATATCAAATTTAGCTGAAGGATAGTTTATGTTATACCAATTGCATGCTTCGTTCCGGAACGGCCTTCCAACTCTGAAACATTTTTCGTATACTATAAGATAATTATAAGATATGAATAAAGAATGTAAACTCGAACGTTATATTAGTAGTGAGTGTGTGTCGTAGCATTATAAAAGAAACACGTGCGCTGATTTTTGTAAACATATAAGTTTATATAACATCAAAACAATATTAACAGTAATGTTATTATCAATAGTCAGAAAAAGGTGTTCCATAGATACATGTATAGGCTACAAGGAACGACACAAAGTTCTTAAAACAAAAAAAAAATAATTAATTACTAAAACAAAAGTACTGACGTAAGAAATCGAAGTTGGATTTTAAAGTTAGAATACTTTTTATATTTATATATTCTAATGGTGCCATTTAAAAAAATGCATAACTACTGTATTTTTTTGGAAATCCGGAATAAAAAAAGTAATATTTGATGGTTTTAACGACTCTATGTCGCTCCTTGTAGCTATATATATACAAGTATCTATCTATCGACACCAGAATTATCAATTAATGTAAGAGAAAAAGCACGGTTTTTCAGTAGAGCCAAAAAACGATTTAATTTTTTTAAATCTGCCTATAACTTTTTACTGTCTGCTCCAATTTTGGTCAGATGAGCAAAGTTTCTTAGAATTTCCTCTTCTTTCATGCTATAAACGAAATATTTAGGAATGCCTAGTGGTTTAAAATATAACATGTCCCTTACATTAAAAAAAGATGTTTAGTTGTGCCTTACGTTACTAATATTTTATGTGTAAACCGTCGCTCATAGTGTAAGCATGAGGAGAAATAGAAAATTACACATAATCCTATTGTAAAGGATCCTTTACAATAGAATATATTATATAATATTATCCGATACTTGGGCGAGCAGCCTCTGTCCCACCTGATGCGGAGCACTTGGAATACCAAGATTTCCGGATTTTCTCGTACTCACTGAATCCTTCCGACCACTAATCCCGTCAATAATTTGAAACCATCTCTATTCCTTCTGGGATAACAAGTACCTAAATGTCAGTGCCCGCGAGGTCTTTGTGTTAGGTTTTTGACTGTTTGCTAGGTGTAGTTTTGGTTGCAGTATTTTTAGTTAGGAAGGAGCAGGGTATTGGTACGATCGCATCAAGTCGTATTTTTAAATACCCCATAAGATGCTACCGATAGTTGCAGAGATTCAGCAAACTCAATTTTGTATGGTGGCCATCTTGGTTTCTCCATATTGGAAAAGTTTTGATCCCGGTAGAACCTGACCATTGTCCAAGACAAATTTTGTTTGAAAGCTATAACCCATCTCTGATGCTTTGACCAGACCGTTTATCACGGACACCAGGTCGATTTAATAATAATATAATATAATATAATATAATGTAATATAATATAATATAATATAATATAATATAATATAATATAATATA